TGGTTGGTATTACTTCTGGTTTTGTTCTTCAGTGTTTGTATATCGAGTCCAGTTCAATGTATTTGTTGACGGAGTTCTGGTTTGAATGCCAGGCCTCCAGGAATTCCCTGGCATGTCTCTGTTTGGCTTGTGCTATTATGGAAGTGTTGTGCCAGTTGAATTCATGTCCTTCTTCGTCCGTGTGTATTGAGACCAGTGAGAATTGGTCATCTCTCTTCTGGTCTCACTGGATCTTTACTCCATTGACTTCACTGACAATGAGCAAGGTGTACAAAGGGCAGGTGATCTGCTACATTAACAAAATCTTAGGCCCATTTGTGGTCTCTTCATTTCCCAAAAAGATAGGATGCACAAACCAGATGTATAAATTTTCATTCAAGCCCAGTTAATGTGTTATGATTTCAAACTGCACAATAAATTTTAACTGCTGAATTTGAGATCAACAACCCCAAAGTCTTACAGCAAGATATGAATTTCAGCTCTATACTTCCATAAATACTACGCTGGAAGATTCATACTCACCTGTTTATTCATGTAGTGAAAAGAAATAATAATAGCAATGAGGCTTTTTAAAATCATTAATGTGACTCAATGGTAGATCATTGAACTCCTATTAGGAACACAGAAAACTTGAGGAAGTTTGCCTACCATCCTGATAGTTACCTGATACAACATTAATATAATTATTTGCTAATCATAGTAATCAACCTCTTGTCAGTTAGGTCCAGACATTAAAGACAATCCTCAGCAGTAGCATGCTTTGCGCATCATAGGTGCAAAGGCAACATTCCCCTCCCAAATATGCTATTGTTACCACTCCATGTCTCATATTTCTTGTATACTGCTCTTGGTATCCAGGTTGACATATCAACATCATCTGACATGTTTTTCAATCCATGCCAGTTTCAGTGATTCCATTCTAGAAAAGATAATTCCAATACCACTTCACCTCCCACCGCCCACCCCCAACCCTGCCACCCCCACCACTCCCCAAAGACCATTCTTTCTGCAATAGTTTAACCTTTCCATCATTTTGCACTCAGAGAAAATCCATTTAGGCCACGAGTCAGCAGCTCCTATCTATTTTCAGATCTGTAAGTAAATCAATTCATGTAATTTTTGTTCCACAAGCTTCATTAGTTTCTTGAAGCAGTGTCATATTAGAATTGAAAATATCTGCAGTCACTTTGTAAAGTGTTTGCAGTAAAATTAGGCTACAGTTCATCAACTAACCTACAAAGCAGTGGAAAGAACATAATACAAGGAAATCAGTGGCTCCTTATTCTTGATCCATTGCCGCATTGACAATGGAAAAGCAACCCTGAATATTCCACCTTTCTGACTGAATTCGAGGAATGCAGAAATGGAACAAAACTAAAATTGGTATTAATGGGGAATTTCAGTGACATTTAAAACTTGGCTGTCTGACAGTGTATACATAAATCAGTTCCACAGAAAATTGATTTGTGCACAGATTAATTTTGGAGCATGTTTTCTAAATTACATGTCAATAGCAATGTCTATCACTGTTGAGTGAGTTTAGTCACTTGTAAGTCAAAATCATACAGCAGTGAAAGAAGCCATATGGCCTTTGCACCTGTGCAAGTTCATTGAAAGAGCTCTCCAATTAGTATCACTTCCTTGCTCCATCTCCATAATCCTGCAAGATTTTCTATTTCAAATAATGTCCAATTTAATTTGAGTATTAATTGGAGTACAGAAGGCTACAAAAAGGTTCAATGGATTAATTTTAAAACTGTGAAATATTTTGATAGTGCAAATAAGGACAGATTTGGTTGCAGAATCACTTGTCAGTTTAAAATGGTCACTGGGAGAGAAGAAGGATTAAAGCTCTTGCTTGTTCTGATAGAGTTGGTGAGAGGTTAATCCTGGAGCACACATCCACTACTATGGAGGAGAAAACATGAGGCAATGGAGTTGAATAATATTTTACATGTTTGTATCTTAAACTGTACAGAATTGATATTTTCATACTTGCAGGCAGGAATCTATGCAATAAGAGCAGAAAAATGGTATGAACATCATTAAGAAAAGAGCAGTAAAAGACATGAAGTCTGAAGGACTTCAGTTATGTATAGGTGTTCAAAATCTGTGATTGCTGTCCTTAGAGCAGAGGGTAATGGGAGATTTAATAGAGGTGCTCAAAATTATGAAGTGTTTTAATAGCACACTTTTAAATTGTTTTGACTAGCAGAACATCATTAACCAGGGGATGCAAATTTAAGAATTAGCAAAAGAACCAGAGCCATTTAAAATGCAGTTGTGCACCGGGTGAAGTACTGTCAGTCTGGAGCCGCCCGCCTTGCTCCTATCTGAAGAATTGTCCTGAAGATGGAAGTTAGGTTCCCATTTTTGCAGCAGGGACCCAGAGGTCCTGATGGGTGAGGTCGTGTAGATGAGGGCAGTTTACTTTTCTCAGGACTGCCAGGAGACCACAGCTCCACACCGTGCCAGCTTGGCCCAAGGTTGCAACCTAAGTGGGTGCTGTTTTCAGTCCAGAAGAACACCCAACAATGCCACAAGAAGGTTAATGATTTTCTGTACTCCACGAGGTTAAGTGCCACCATCTTCTGTCACATCACACTCTGCTACCACACTCACCTGTCACCAAGTTTCATGGTCTACCACTCTCACGACTTCAGGCAACATTTCCCCACACTGTTTCAGCAGTCCCACTCCAACCTCTCACATACTACTCACCCTGCATAGCCCCTGTACTGCTTACTCACTCATTCAGGACAACACTTTTCCGCACCTTTAATGACCGGGTCAGTCACTTTCACCTCAGTCTTTCTGTCTCATTTGAAGTGAAAACAGCTTACAATACAGCAGAAAAACACACGACAGTTGTGATGGGACATCGACCTACTCACCCACAACAAAGAGAATAGTGGGAGAGGACAGAGACTGCCCACGTAGTGATGCTAAAGCTTTCCATGTCTGAGCAACCTAGTAAGATTTGTCAAGTGCTGTGCTGCTCTCCCATACTGTCATTGTTATTGTTACTGTCACTGTCACATTACTAACATGCCCAAACTTCTACCCCTATTCCACAATTCATTGTCTCATCTCGTGCAGGCACCAGTGGTATCTATATAGTCTCTGCCCTCAAGAGGCAGGCCCCAGAAGCCATCCTTTCTTCTAACTCTGCACACTCAGCCACAGATTCGTCAGAGAATGCAGTGGCTAGGCTGCCTCCTGCACCCTCCACCAACTCAGATGTTGACTCCTTAGTGGGCACTTTCGCTAGATTAGATTAGGGAGCATAGAAGCATAGAAGACAGGAACAGGAGTACACCAGTGGCCTTTCAAATCTGCTCCGTCACTCAATACGATCATGGCTGATCATCCAACTCAGTACCCTGTGCCCTCTTTCCCATTACACATGTTGATCCCTTGCACATATTTTGGTGAATACATCACTGCCATGTCTCTACAACTGTTTGAGGGTCCTGCACATAGACACAGAAGGAAGAAGAAAAAAAAAAATCTTGAGGCACATAGTGGGTTCCCATGACACTTCATTGTAACAAAAGGTGCCATTACACTCTGAGAAGTGCAGCACTGAAATGGAGAACTGCATTCTAAATGGGTGGAGAGGCACCATGATAATTGGGTGAGGCTGGTGCATGATCGATGACGACCTGCATAGATGAGGGTGCAGGCATTCACTGCCTCTGGGGCATGCTCTGAGGATGTTACTGACTATAGTCCTAGCTGATGCCCTACAGGAGCAAGCAGGGAGTTGCCGGTGCAAGCTAACTACTCAGACTTTCATGTGGGGAATTGATCCCATTTAGTTTCTCTCCAACAGATGGGAGAATAAGAAAATTGAGATCAATAAGACAAAATCAGGTACTATTAGCATGAAAATGCATGCAAACAGGCCTCTTGCTGCTCACTAGCAACAGTCTCATTTTGGCATTCAAAACACTCTCAACAGCAAGAATCTAATTTCTGCTGATCTCGTCATAGTTTCCCAACTGAGTAGTCATTGTGCACATCATTTAGGGCCAGGACAATTCTGCCCATTATTTTAGGCTTGCCTGCAAATTAAAATGGAATTTTTGACTTGCATGAGAAAACCCACAAAAATGATCCACAATTGTTCTTCCCCAGGTCTAGCTCTGCTGTCAGTTGCAATGTTCTGAGACTAGTGCCAATGAACAAGAAGTCTGGTAGTCTTCATCAAACCGATAAGGATGTGGAAATTTCATATTGAGTTTGCATCTACCCAAATGGAATAGACCCTCTGCATATACACACACAAAAATGGTATGTCGCATGCCTTAACAAGCTTGTTGGAAAGAGAATTCCTAAAAGAGTCAACAATATTGATACAGCAGGAAGTATGAGCAGTATTTCTGTTGAATTTATAAAAGCTGCTCTAGAGAAGGAAAAGGCAGCCACAAATAAGTTTGGATTTCTGTTGGGGTAGCAGATCACCCTCTCTTCAGCTAACAGTGCTTGGACCATGAGCTCGCCTTGAAGCTGTCCTGTTAAGTAAGTGAATAGCAGAACAGATTCAAGTCTGAATGACCAACTTGTGTCTCTACAACTCTTTATAGAGAAATCCTTACCAGTGTTAACAAGCTCCAAACTACTCATCAAGCTGTGACTATCCTATCAATTATCCCCTGACATTAGATAGCAACTTTATTCTTTCCTACTGAGTCAGGCAATAGAAACCATCGCAAATCTACCATCCACTTACTCAGTTCCACTTCTCGTGACTTGGAGGCACTTAGTTGATGATAAGACAACTGACAAGTTCAAATTTGACTATAACAGACTCAATAACCAGTGATTCCACCACTTAGCTCTTTCCTACAGCTCTTCGCATTCCTTCTCTTTAAATATTCTCGCATTTGTTCCTTATAAGACACAATAGTCCTAAATTTTATTCCCAGAGCTGAAGCAGTAATAACCATATACATGTAGATTATGTACAAGGAATGAAAAAGAAGTAATCACACTAGTTTTGTTTTCAAACAATTAAATCTATTTATCATGTAAATAGCATCAGAGTACAAGCCTCACACTCACTTGATAACGTGTTTAAATTAACTTTCACTCTTACAAACAAAATTCTGCAAAGTTCTTATGTATCTTACGTGAAAGAAAAGCTCGCTTTCTCATTCCAAATCCAACTTTTATCAACACATTTTATCTGTACCATTCAAAAGTATATTACAGCAACCACTCTTAATTAGTGATAACACTCTTATTCAACAAGTGTAATATTTTACTGCTAAATTGTATATAATAAATAACAAATAACAATCATGAGGAATCATTTCTTGATGGAAGAATCCAGTAGATCTTTTGCTTCATTGATCTTTGCAGCCAGGTATGGTGATCCTCCTAAAATTACAGGGACAAAAATGAGCTCTAGTTCAATTTACAATTGCAAGGTTCCCTGACTTCTTAATGGTTTTCCAGTTCTGACTCTTGTTTTATTTGCAATAGTGCTCAGCAATATTTAAACAATTCAGTTACACCAAGTAATATTTCTGTACAATAGCATTCAATATATAAAGAAACGTTTTTACTTACAGAATCAAAAGTTTACAGAATAAGAGACTATTCAAACCATCATGACTATACTAGTTTTTGAAAGAACTGTCCAATTCTCACACCTGCTCATTCGCATAATACCAGGAATATTTCCATTTCAAACAAAGGAAGTTGTGGCTCAGTGACAGTGTTCCTACCTCGGACCAGACGATCTGTGTACAAGTTCCACTTGCCTGAGGGATGCATTAACATGCCTGAACAAGTTGATTTAAAAAACATTTATATCCAATACCCTTTGAAAGTCAAAATCTGCTTCCATCATCCTTTCGGGCAATGCTTTCCAGATCATAGCTAGTTGCATTAAGAATTAAAACTATTTTTGAGTGTACACTTACAGCACCTAGAAATCACTAATTTATTTTTATTAGAAATGATGAGATTTACCTTCAACCATCCCTTCAAGAAAGGATGCACAAGCAGATGTGCATTATTGAGAACTTGAGCGCTATATTGTTTCACACTATAGTTATGTTGTAACACAGCAGTTCCTAAACAGTGGGTTACAACCTCAGTTGAGGAGCTGATTATGTCTGTCTGTGTGGGGGGCAAAGGGGGAGCTGATTACAGGGTTGAGGGGTGGGTGCTGAAATCCTCAGGAGAAAATTAGAAGCTTTTTTGATTTGTACTAATACAAACTAATAGACTGATAAGCACATAAAGTTAATAATGTCTTTACTTGCTAATAAAAAAATTCTTGATGTATATGTTGATCCATAATATACTAACATTAATAATTATCTACTGAATGCTACTGTGCTGCTTTGCTTTTTAGACAATGGGGGTTAATTTGAACATTAAATGTAGGCATTGTTTAAAGATCTAAATTACCTCCAAGTAGGGCACATTTTAAAATCTAGTTTGGATTTCATGCCGGCCCTTTATTGATCAAGTCTGATTTACCCCACAAGTGAAAATCACTTCACTAACCATGTAGAAGTTATATTGTGACCACACTTTACACATACCATTATTTTGGGAAAACTGACCTTGGTTAAAATTGATTTCATTACATTCTTAGCTGATTAACTTTCAAATTAATCAAAATTCAGTAAAGCAAGGTTTTATTCTCTGCAGATCAGTTATTGAATATTTGTTACAAAAAGGCCTCATTTAGTTCACTCATCAGTTATGCTTGTCAGGGTAGACCTCAGGAATAGGAAGGGTGCGGTCACTGGATGGGATTGTACTACAGGCCTCCAAACTCCAAGCTGGCGTGTGAATTGGACAGCTCTTTCAAAAAGTCGTATAATCATGATGGCTTGATTAGTCTCTTATTCCGTAAACTTTTGATTCAGTGGGTGATCGAGGAACATATGTGGACAGTTTATGGAAAAATGTAAGAACAACAGGGTTATGATGTTCGGTGATTCTAACTTCCTGTATACTGACTGGGACTCGCTTAGTGCAGGAGCGTGTATGTGTGTAATGTGTGTTCAGGATGGCTTTTTGAAACAAAATGTCAATAGTCCAATGAGGCGAGTTACCACACTAGACCTGGTATTGGGGAATGAGCCTAACCAGGTGATCAAAGTTTTAGTGCAGCAGCAATTTTGGGAACAGAGACCATAATTCTGTAAGTTTTAAGTTAGTTATAGATTAGAATCGCAGTAGTCCTTTGGTGAAAGTACTACACTGGGGGAAGGCTAACTTACAATATTAGGAAGGAAGTGGGGAATTTAGATTGGGGCAGCTATTTGAGGGTAAACCACATCTGGCACGTGGAAATCTTTTAAAAGCTAGTTGATTAGAGCTCAGGACCAGCATGTTCCTGTGAAAATGAAGGATAAGGAAGGCATGGCTTGGGAACCTTGGATGACAAGAGAAATTAAGAGCTTAGTCAAAAAGAAAAAGACAGCCAGCGCCCTTAAAGCATAAAGGATAGCAGGAAAGAACTCAAACAAGGAATTAGGAGGGCTAAAAGGGACCATGAAATCTCTTTGCCATACAGGATTAAGGAAAACCCCAAGGCGTTTTATGCATACATGAAAGAACAACAGGGTCGCTGGGGAAAGGCAGGTCCACTCAAGGACAAAGGAGGGAATTTATGTATCCAGCCAAAGAAAGAGGGTGAGGTCCTTAATAAATACTTTGCATTGGTATTCAAAGGAAAAGGACATGGCTCATATTCTAGGGCATGTCAACATGAAAAATGTGGTGGTGTTGGGTGTTTTGAAAAGCATTAAGGTAGGCAAGTAACAAGGACCTGGTGGGATCGATCTCAGAATGCTGTGGGAAGCAGATGAGGAAATTGCTGGAGCCTTATATGAAATCTTTGCATTGTCTTTAGAGGTCCCGGAGGACTGGAGAATAGTTAACATTGTTCCTTTGCTTAAGAAAGGCAACAGGGATAGCTCGGGAACTTACAGGCTGGTGACCCTTATGTCAGTGATAGGGAAATTACTGGATAAGATTCTTAGAGATAAGATCTACTCAAATATGGTCTTAGTTGCAATAGGTAGCATGGCTGTGTGCAGGGAACGTCATGTCTCACAAACTTGATTGAGTTTTTGAGGAAGTCACAAAGATGATTAAGTAGATGTTATCTATATGGACTTCAGCAAGGCGTTTGACAAGGTCCCTCATGGCAGGCTGAGACAAAAGGTGAAGTCACATGGAATCTGTGGCAATCTGGTAAAATGGATACAGAACAGGCTTAGTCATAGAAGACAGAGTAACAGTGGAAGGGTAATTTTTCAATTTGGAAATCTATGCCGGGTGATCTGCAGGGATCAGTTATGGACCCATGTTATTTGTAATATATATACACAAAATTATTTGAAAGAAAAATGTAGGTGTCCTGATTAGTAAGTTTGCAGATGACACAAAAATTGCGGGGGGGGTCTGCAAAGAGTGAAGAGGATTGCCAAAGGATACAGATAGGCTAAGGACTTGGGCAGAGAAATGGCAGATGCAGTTTAATCTGGACAAATACAAGGTGATGCATTTTGGGCAATCTAATGCAGGAAGGAAGTATTGTAACTGACAGAAGCCTTAGTAGTATCAATATACAGAGGGAGCTAGGTTTATAGGTCTACAGTTCCTGCAAATTGGCAACATAAGTGGATAAGATGGTCAAGGAGGCATATAGATTGCTTTCCTTCATTGGTTGGGGCACAGAGTATAAAAATTGGCAAGTCATGGTGCAGCTGTATCGAATTTTAGTTAAGCCACATATGGAATATTGTGGCATGATAGAGGCACAGACAGAATGGATAGTCAGTCATTTTCTCAGGGTAAAAATTTCTATTACTAGGGGTCATGGGTTTTAGGTAAAAGGGGGTAAGTTTAAAGCAGATGAGGAAGACAGGTTTTTTTTGTCTTTGTTTATATAAACAGTGTGCCTCGAATGTACTGACAGAGGCGGTGGTGAGGCTGATACTATAGCAACATTTAAGAGGCACCTTGTCAGATATATGAACAGGCAGAGAACAGAGAGATGCGTACAGTGTAGTGGCAAAAGGTTTTTAGTTTAGAAAGGCATCATGTGTCAGCGTGGTCTTGGTGGGCAGAAAAGCCTGTTCCTGTGCTGTAGTGTTCTTTGTTCTTTATAATTGGTTTTGATCACATTATGATAGCATAGTTTCCTTAAATACCTTTTCATAATGAACTCAAAATTATAATGCATGTTAATTGCTGAAAGAAAATATGATTGACCAAATGATTGCATTGTAATAGTTGGTTATAACTCATCACCCTATAAGCAGATCATTAAAAGTCAAAGCTCAATAACTATCTTCTCATTTTGCAACCTACATTTTTTTTTTAAGGCTACATGAATCCTGTATCATTTAAACTGCTTTACATCTGTAGTTATGGGAGCAGAGATACTCAACATAAATGGCACATTAATTCATACCATTTCTCTCCACCAGATCTAACAGCTAGACTGAACTCTAATCATTGATAATGATTTTTATTCAAGTACTGTAACAATATGTAAAAACCAGGCCCAAATCCAGGGATTAACAAAAGTACAGTTTAGATATGACAGGGTGTACACAGAAAATCACCCAATGTAGACCTGGAAATTGCTACTAGTAAGGGCAAGTAGTAACAAGTTATCACTCAGTATGCGAGGAAGTGTTCAATGTGGAGATGAACGGAGGGATTGATCTGTGTTTTCTTCTATACTTCAAGAGCATAAGAATACAGAAAGATGACTAATCAAGAGTAAGCAGGTCATTTAAATGGCCATACTGCATCAGCCATTATTATGGTTGTCTATTCCTGTTGAAACAATTACTGATTATACTTCCAAGGTGGCATTGTACAAGACAACCCTCCAAAATTATAAAAAGAAAATTAAATGATTCTTATAAAAAATGAGGGTCAATACAACGCTCCAATCTGCCAGAGTTCTCAACTCCATTTTGTCTGGTATCATCTGTTTTCTTTTCACCCAGCATATTCCAATGACTGTTTACTCTTTTCCTGCAAATCTGTGATATTTTAGTTACTGCCAATGCTAATTTTACATTTTATCTCACTGGGTATTTCAGATTCCAAATCAATATCAGGAGGCTGAAGTGAAGGTGGGCAGAAAACTCATTGTTTTTGACTAATGAAGGGATTGAAGCAAAACGGATTGATATTTTGGTATGATATTGGCCCATTACCTTTAGAGAAAGGGTTTTGATACAAGGAGGTCAATATGATCATTATGGGAGCACTTCTTTCAGTTGAAATTAGGGAAGAAGGGCATGGGCTTTTTGTCTCAACATGAATTCCTTTGTAATTGTGATGAATTTGGAGGAAAGAGACAAGAATCAAGCTGCATATTCAGAATGCCAGTGCTCAAGCTGTGTACTTATCTGGAATTTTCCTCAACGGAAATGTCTTGAAAAAACTGAAATCACTCCAAGGACAAAGGAGCATAATCATATAACTGCACCAAGAATTAGGACTTGCTGTATGGAGTCATGGAATCAAATTAATGTACAACCCTGAAAGATTCCAAGGACAGTCCGGTTGGCATGGGAAAGGAACCTCAAAGAGCACCTTGATTATCTCAACCTCCACTTGTGGGTGGTTAACCATTCCACCCCTAATCCGACCTTATCAAAAATGACTGAGAGGAGGAATAGTACTGGTAAGATGGCATGCCAGTCAGCCAGCAACAGGAAATACAGAAACAAAAACAGAAATTGCTGGAGAAACTCAACAGTTCTGGCAGCATCTGTGGACAGAAAGCACAGCCAATGTTTCAACTCCAGTGGCCCTTCTTCGGGACTGGACTCTGGTCACTATTTGAAATGTTAGCTCTGCTTTCTGTCCACAGATGCTGCCAGACTTGCTGAGTTTTGCCAGCAATGTCTGTTTTTGTTTCAGATTTCCAACATCTGCAGTCCTTTGTTTTATATTAGCTGGAAATTCTGGATCTACTGACATTAGGTCCCACCCCCATTAGGCCTCAAAAATTATATCCTAAATCAACAGAGAAGAAATTGGGACATTGACCAAATGGGCTATAAAAGAGGATCTCTGAGGTGATAAGATAGAGGAATGGGGTTTGGGTGGATTTACCTGGCCTGGAAGTAATTACACAAGATAAGGAGGGGTGAGGCCTTGGGATTTTAACATGTATTCAACAGTCAAAGTAATTCAATAAGGACAAGGGTAAGGAATCTTAATGAGTGCAAGCCCAACTACCCAAATCAATGAACTGAGACATGGAAGGGTAACAGTCACTTTTCACATCATGCTGGCAAGACATTTTAAGACAGTACACCTATACCTTTGAGGAATTAGAGAGATTCTTCAGAGTTACTTAACTTTACTTAGGTTATTAGCTCCCAGTTAGCATAGGATGCACTTCAAGTATTAACTTTTTATGCATTAAGACTCGTGATTAATCATTGTCTATAAACTTCTTGAAGTAGCTGAGAGGTGCTCACTCAATGGCATAACCAATAACTATATGAGAAATAAACATTTAAAAGTTATGTGACTTTCTAGTCTAGCTACAATAATTAGAGCTACTCTCCAAGGAATTCAAAATGACCCACTTATTTAAAGTTTCCATTAAATATTATTCCTACCTCTGTCAGGATGATTCAAGAGCATAATTCTTTTGTGGGCTTCTCCAATTTTTGTTCGAGTAGCTGATGAACTGAAGAGAGAAACATCAATCTATACTCAGCACTCACTCAACACATCTCTCAAGGACAAAAGAAATGCTCCTACAACCCTATGAAATTAGAATCTAACAACTGGAATCTATTCAACAAGCTGATCAATGTGCTTGTACCATTTTACCTTAAAAGCCCAAATCCCTCAATTAATACAACAGGTCACCATGTTATTTATCACTAAACATCCAGTCATTCATTTCAAGGACAGTGAGCTGAAGTGTGGCCGAAGATGCTCCCATTTTGCACTGTTAACTGGCTGGGATTGATAATACCTTTTCTGAGTCAGTCGACACAGACTAGAGGATAAAATCTAGGTTAATACTTCAGCACAGTGCTAAAGAGCTGAACTTTTGGATTGAACCAATCTAACCTTTACAATATTTTGCCCAAGAAGGGGTGGTATAGAAATTTAAGTGGTCAATCAGAATTTGACACTTAACAAAAGTTAACAAAAACTTCACAAGCGTCTAAGTACTTACTAGCATCAAGATGCGTTGAGATTTTGAAAGAAAAAAGTTCTGCTTTTATGAAATCTGATTAGAACTAATTTATGTAACTTGTCCGGCAAGATGGCGGCAGGGTAAGTCATTCCGTTCGGAGCTCCACTCTGCTCACCAGTTCCCTTTCCTTTTCCTTTCTTTTGTCTTCTTCTTCTCTCTCCTCACTGTAGTAATTCTAGATCCCCACACTCTGCCCTTTTAACTACCTACCTAAGAAGTCGAGAAGGAATTGGGCTGTGAGCGGGAACCGTGTGATGTGATCTGAACGTGCAGACCATGTCCTGCAGCAACAGCAGATCGAGCATGGGCTGGAACGACATTGGTGGCAAGGGCGGGCCGGTGAGGCAGTGACAGTGGCGTAGTAATCGGAGAGGCGCCTGCACCATTGTGGAGATTGGACTTGGGACTCTGAGATCTGGACTTTATTTTCTTGCTTACCTTTTGGCTGCTAAATTCCTTAATTCTATTTTTTGTAACCAAGTGAGTGCCAGTGAATGGCGACTTTGTGCACTTTTCACTGTACTTATGTATTCCTGTACTTATTTATTTGTTCCATGTACTAAATAAATACAACTGTATAGGGAGGCAAACAATTAGGACCAACAGGGATAGGATACTTGTAGAGGCTCTTGATTCCCCACACTATCATCATGAACTGAGGAAAACCAAACATTTATCTTGATTCCACAGGATTTTCTTCCAAGCCTACAGTGTTAGATCTGAAAATGTATCCCTCAAATACTGACACCTTAATCAATCAGATTCCCAAAACAGCATCTACATATATAGATGAGTGAAGACACTTACCTAATACCTAGTATGAGGTTAGCCTCACGCTTATTCATTTTTGCTTCAAATCCTCCTTTGTAATATGTTGGAAAGCCCTACAAGATAAAATGATTCTGTACTAACCCATCTGTTAATGATACACTAAAATAGTGGAATATTTTGTTTGTCAAACATGTTTCTGTGATGCCGTCTTTCAGAATTCTAGAAAAACATCTTTAATTATGGCCCGAGCTACCGTTTTGAACCATTATTTGATCAATAATACAAAATTAAGCAACACAGTAATTTAAGGATTGACTGGGGCAAAGGAAGTAACATCACAACAATCTCCAAGAAATTATTTAAAGGTGAGTTTAATTGAGTTGTAACTGTGCTGCCAAGAAGCTCCATTTTATTAGTGTGTAAATAAGAGTTATATGCAATGAAAATCTGTATCTTTTTCCAATACTTTAAATATGTTTCTCAGTCCAAAACTTCACCCAAACTGAGTCTAGGAATAGTTTCTTCAGAACACTCCACATTATTTGTATGGAAATCTAACCGCTTCACAAGCAGGTATGCAATTTCCAACTGTTCAGAACCTGACAGCCATTATACCTAATTATTTGTTTCCTGTCAAAAAATTCAAGTTTCTCAGCACGTTACAACATTTCCTCTAGTGCTTTTAAGTGCCTTAAGATTTTTTATGTCAAAAGGTACTATACATGCGAGCTGTCAGTTGTTGTTCAGTTTTTTGGTAGTAAATCTGTGAACATGAAACATGAACATGAAAATGCCTTATAGAAATGTTTTATCCAGATCCATATAGATAATCTATCCATGTCCTGAGTTGTTGAGTGCTGGCTGTGATAACTGTTTCCTAACAGCGAACCTATATTTTTACTCCCATAGCACAGGTCAACAGTAACAAAACTGGTTCATTTCTGTCACATGTGGATTTATAAAGTCTTCAAAATGTTCACTTATAAAACAAAAAAATCATTCTCAAGATTAATAAAAGCAAAGCGCTGGAGAAATTCAGCAGGTCTAGAACATCTGTAGAGAAAGAAACAAAATTAACATTTTGATCTGATATGACTCTTTGGAACTGTTCAGAAGAGTCATTTCAGACTCAAAACGTTAACTTTGTTCCCTTCTCCACAAAATCTGCCAAACCTGCTATGTTTCTCCAGCACTTCCTGGTTTTATTTCAGATTTTCAGCATCCACACCACGTTGATTTTATGCATTCTTAGAATAGAACATAAGGAGCAGGAGCAATTCAGCCCCTCGAGTCTGCTCTATTATTAATACAATCATGGCTGATCTCATTTCAGCCTCAACTCCTTGCCCACTCTCCATAACCACTTAATCCATTACTAATTAAAAGTCTCTCTCTTGCTTAAAATTTATTCCGTGTCCCAGTGTTCACCACATTGGGGTAGTGAATTCCACAGATTCACGACCCTTTGAGAGAAGCAAGTCTCTGATTTAAATCTGCCACCCCTTAGCCTACAACATCTAATTCTAGATTGCCCCACAAGGCAAAATGTCCACTCTACATCTGGTGTGTCAATCGCCTTTAGCATTATTACATACCTCAACTGGATCTCCTATCATCCTTTTGAACTCTAGCAAGTATAGGCCTAAACTGCTGAATCTCTCTCTCCTCTTAAGACAAGCCTTTCAACTCTGAACTAGCTCCATCCTTGTGACATAACTGTGGGTAAAGCTGCGAAGGCAAATAATTTTTCCTGACCTTAACTGCCCTGAAAATTTGGAAAAAAACTGGCTGATTATCTAGATTACTTTAGAGGATCTTAATGAAATATCTGAGTTTTTCCAACAATCCTCCTGCCTCATGGTCCCTTTTACTGATGGCTTAAAATAAATCTACAAGCCAAAAGCCGAGTTTAAGTTTGCAAGTTGCTATGATAGGATTTGAACTCATTCTCCACATTATTAATCCAGACCTCTATAGCACTAATCCAGTAACAAACGTTACAACAGTATTCAGGACTATCATTGCCCAATGGCTGATGCTTGGCTATCTCAACTTCTGCAGAAGAAATTTTACAGCCTTCAAATTTGAAATGAAATGGTGACAGCTAGGAATAAATATCATAGACCATTTGTATCCTCCGAAAATTGCACTCAAGGGTGAAAAATAAATTGTATATTTATTTAGACAAGTCTTTTACTGTAAAACTTGATTCCATTATTTTCACATGTAATTCACTAAATATCCAGCTGATATCACAGTAAAATTTGGAGGGAAGTGTGGAACTTAAATTGGAATGGAGTAACAGGCACTTCTGGAAATCATAAATCATGCTGCTCTGGTCCTCATTCTAACTCCACTTTTTCCATTACGTGTACAGATGATGAACATTTCTACGTCTCAGATTTCCTGAAAGAACCTATGAAGTGCTTTAATTGAATGCGTGTAAAATACACTCATTGTCATGGAACAAATCCATGTTTTATAGAGTCATTTAAAAACAAAATACAAAGCCAGTAGGCAGGAAAGATTAAATTCCATCTTAAAGCAAGTTAAAAGCAGAAAGTGAAATCTAAATAGAATTTCTGTGCACAGAACGTTAACCCCTTCAACTTAGTTAGAGCTGTTACAACATGGTGTGTTAACTCTCAAGGTAACTTCCTTTATATAACCATGACTCACTTGAAATTTACATGACTAGGTAATAAAGAAGCTATTTTAGTGTCAAAAGTTGAGTCTTCAAAGTGTAGATTATCTAATAGTGTCAACTCATTTCCACATAATTCAGATTCAAAACACACTTGGGACAACAAAGGAGGAACATCTGACTTGGAAGGACATTATTCATGAACTTGCATCGATATGGTGCCTTGCCCATTCTCAGGTTATTGCAAAGTGCTTCATTGTCAATGAATTAATACTTGAATTATAGCTGCTTTCATAATGAAGGTAAAAGCACAAATGGACTTGCACATAGAGAAACATCCAAACATCAAAACAAACAACAGGATCATTGGTTGTGTGTGGGACTGGCAGAGGAACAATTGTTGCCTCAGATATCTGAATATTCCTTCTGCTGTTCCTTAAAATGGCATGGAAATCAATGAGTTTAATATATCATCTGAAATACAGCACCTCTGACATCCAAGCACTCCCCTGACACTGCCCTTAACTGTCAGTTTAGACAACACACTCAAGTCTTAGAGCATCGAGAGCCCGTGAACATGTGACTCTAAAATGCAGATATCACCATTGAGCCATAAACCGACACCCAAGGTCTTAACAGAAAACCATCCCAAAAATCACTACATAAATTAGCAAGCTCAGTATACCCTCAGTTATGCACCCCAAAATATGAGACATGCATAAAGTGGTCCAATATCCAAGCATAATATTTTTGAAAAGTCAAGCACTGCTATTAGCACACTTACAGGACTAGGGATTGTCCTTGCCATTTCTACAATTATTTGTTGAAGAGGTTTCCACAATCGAAATGCATGGCGACCTGAAAAAAAAAATCAGCTATGTTTCTCGTTGTCTTCTCGGCATTCAAAACAATCCTTAATAGTCTTTGCTACATAAAACAAGTGGAGGTCATTCTGTGCTTTGAGCCTGGCCTACCATTCAATGAGATCATGGTTAAATTATATGCTAATTTTATCCCCCTTTCTTAGCTAATGCTTAGATTTTAGCTTAATATAGTTACTATTAATCTTAGAATATTTGAAAAACACTAACTGAGCTAACATTTACCACTTTTTGTGCCAGAGAATTCTCAACTTCTAACACCCAAAGAGTGAAGCAGTATTTCCTAATGCCATTATGAAATGGCCTGATTTCAATTTATACTCCATTATCTTAGACACCCTCACCTGTGGAAACAGGTTACCTCTATTTACCTTCAGTTCCTTTAAAAATTCTAAAAATCTGAATTAAGTCATCCCTCAAGAATAATAGGGAATGCAAGGCTAGTTTAGCTGATTGTTCCTTGTAATTTAATCGTGGGGACTTGAGTAACATTCTGTTGCACTCCTGTAAAGATCAATGTATATCTTCCAGTGTGATGCCATGATTGTATAAAGTAGTCCAAATGTCACATAACCGAGCTTTATAAAGCTGAAGGAAAACATTGACTGTATATGCAAGCTATAATTCAAGTTAAAAATCATTTTAATAGAATGTTAGCCATATTTTCCATATCCCGCAACCATATTTTGGCCCCTTTTTATAGAATCCCTACAGTGTGGAGGAGGACCATTCAACCTATTGAGTCCACAATGAACCTCTGATGAATATCCCATCCAGTCCCAGCCCTCTATCCTATCCCTGTAACCCTGCATTTCCCAAGGCTAATCTACCTAGCCTGCACATTGTGGGAGGAAACTAGAGGAAACCCACACAGACACAAGGAGAATGTGCAAACTCCACACAGACAGTCGCCAGAGGCTGGAAATTAACCCCAGTCCCTGGTACTGAGAGGCAGCAGTACTAACCACTAAGCCACTGTGCATTTGTGCGTGTAGATCCCTCAACCTTTTTGGAACTACATGGTTTACAGTCATAGAGATATACAGCACAGAAACTGACCCTTCGGTCCAAAACTTCCATGCCAGATATTCTAAAATTAATCTAGTCCCATTTGCAGCATTTGGCCCATATCCCTCTAAACCCTTCCTATTCATATACAACATTTAAAAGGCATTTGGATGGGTAATTGTACCAGCCCCCACCACTTCCTCTGGCAGCTCATTCTATACATGCACCACCCTCTGCATGACAAAGTTGCCCCTCAGGTCCCTTTTAGATCATTCCCCTCTCACCCAAAACCAATGCCCTCTAGTTTTGGACTCTCTCATGCAAGGGAAAAAGACCTTGTCTATTTACTCTATTCATGCCCCTCATGATTTCATAAACTTCTATAATGTCACCCCCCGTCACCACCCCCCACCACCACCCCTCCCCGCAACCCCTCCAGCCTCCGAAACTCCAGGGAAGATGGCCCCAGCCTATTCAGCCTTTCCCTATAGCTCAAACCCTCCAACCTGGCAACACCCTTGTAAATCTTTTCTGAATCTTTTCAAGTTTCACAATGTCCTTCCCATAGCAGGGAGACCAGAATTGCACGCAATGTTCCAAAAGTGGCCAAACCAATGCCCCGTACAGCTGCAACATGACCTCCCAACTCCTATGTGCAATGCACTGACCAATAAAGTTTTAATACCAAATGCCTTCTTCACTATCCTGTTTACTTGTGACTCCATTTTTAAGGAACTATGAACCTGTACTTTTTATTCAGCAACACTCTCCAGGACCTTACGATTAAGTGTATAAGTCCTGCACCGATCTGACTTTCTAAAATGCAGCACCTCACATTTATCTAAATTAAACTCCATCTGCCACTTCTTGGCCCAACGGCCCATTTGATCAAGTTCCCATTGTACCCCGAGGCAACCTTCTTCACTGTCCACTACAGCTTCAATTTTGGTGTCATCTGCAAACTTACTAACCGTACCTCCTATGTTCACATACAAATCATTTATATAAATGAAAACCAGTGGACACCCCCTCCGCCAACCCCGATGCTTGCGGCACAGAGTTGGTCACAGGATTCCAGCCCAAACCACAACCCTGCACCACAACCCTCTGTCTTCTACCTTCAAACCAGTTCTGTATCCAAATAGCTAGTTTGCCCTCTATTCGTGTGATCTAACCTTGCTAACCAGTCTACTGTGAGGAACCTTGTCAAACACCTTTCTGAAGTCCATATAAGTCACGTCCACCGCTCTGCCCTCAATCCTGTTTGTTATTTCTTCAAAAAAACTCAACCTCTTGCTTTTCACCATTTAGAAAACAAATCTATTGTTTCTGGTTCGACATTATCGATAAGAGTGAGGTCATCGATGAAATGTGTCATCCATAATTTTCTCTAATCACTTAATCAAAAGATGTCTTTGTAATTCCATGCCAACTGCTACGCTACTGACGACTCATTCCATTCAGCTGCAACATTAGTTCAAACCACAAATAAAAAAAAATCAGTTTTTCAACACACAGTATTAGGATTTCACCTCGAATCAACAAGGTCAAAAATCACATGACACCAGGTTATAGTCCAACAGGTTTATTTGAAGACACAAGCTTTTGTGTCTCACTCCCTATTCAGGAGTCAGTGAGAGAGGTGGCATCAGACACAGAATTTATAAGCAAAAGATCAAAGGTCATAGAACTGATGCAGTGTTGAACAAACCTAAGATGGCTGTTAAATCTTTAATCAGTTATAAAGGATTAACATGTGAATTCCAGAATTTCTTTCAAGTCACTGCCCTGAGATAACTAAAGGTTCTAATAGTTCCTTCAGTGTATCAGAGGTGACATCCCAGGTCACACAATGCATTTTAGGTGTGAGGCCTTGTTTAAAACCTGGCTGTGTATCAACGTGGAGTCAGACTGGTTTTATTTCCAAAGTAGGAATTTATAAAATGCCACACTGATTGTCTACAAATTGTGTGCTTTTTGAACAAAATAGAATATATCTGCAATTAAAAATCTGCAAATGCAACTTCACCCCATAGATTTACATATGTGTGTGTGTGAGTGCGTGAGGGGGAGACAGAGTGTGAGAGAGAGGGAGAGAGAGTGTGAGAGAGAGACAGAGAGAGAATGAGTGTGTGTGTGCGCTTGAGAGAGAGAGTGTGTGTGCACACGCGCACAGATGAGAGAGTGTATAGTGTGGTGGGGACATCTGTAGTGCGACATAAACCCAAGATCCCAGTTGAGGTGGTCCTCATGGGTACCGAATCTGGCTATCAGTCTCACATCAGCAATCTGCATTGTTGTGTATCCCAAAGTCCACTTGGAGGACGTTTATCTCAGGTCAGTGACTTGAAAGAAATGCTGGAATTTTCATATTAATCCTTTCTATCTGATTAAAGATTTAACAGCCATTTTAGGTTTGTTCAACACCGCATCAATTCTATGACGCTTTGATTTTTTGCTTATAAATTCTGCGTCCGATGCTACCTCTCTCACTGACACCTGAAGAAGGAATGAGACTCTGAAAGCTTGTGTCTTCAAATAAACTTGTTGGACTATAACCTGGTGTCGCATGATTTTTGATCTTGTCCACCCTAGTCCAACACCAGAACCTCCACAACCTGGAATCAACTACATCAATTCTAGATCAAAATAGTAGAGAGATGTTACATAGTTTTTTTAATTTCCTTTCCACACACATGAGGAATGCTTTGCAACCCTTCCAATAGGTTCTACCACATGATAACACTCAGCACAGCAAGCTTCTACACTTGGTTATATCTCCAGGTCATGACATTGAAGAATATTTGGGGGGCTCCTTTGCATGTTGTGCACATCAAGCTACAGGATGTTATTGGTGGAAAAAAAAAATCTCTTTCCATTTTGACTCCCAGTGTTAGCATTGTGCAACACTTGATTCTGGTAATGCTCAGAGTATGGTTCTGCTTTGTGACTCAACTTCAATTTCACAAAAGGACCTCCTGATTATGCAAGCATGATATTTCTTTCTATCCAGTAGCCTAAGTGAGGATGCCACACAAGGGAATTAGTCACTGGATTCCGACCGGCTAAACATATCTCAGCCACAGGACTTCATTTCTGAGGCCTTATTCAGCTCAGACCAACGGCTAATGAATATTCCACAATGCTAGAGAACCAGAAGTTAAGTCAGCTCATAACATTTTGTGTATTATGGCATACAACAGTGGCATAAGGAAGCACGCACCAGCTGCTGTGGTCCAGGAATATACAAAAGGTGGAGTAGGCACTGCTATCCTTTTTATTTTGCTTCCCTCCAATGGAATCACAGGAATAGCTTCACACAATCCTTGAAGGAAATTCTTGGTCTCCATTCAATGAATGGAGGACCACTCCAGACAGAAAGGAACGCTTATACACAGAGCCATTTAAAAATTATGCCAAACATTTCTTTCACTGTTTGCAAAGACTTGCAAAATTGCAATCTGTTTTCAAATATATAACATCTATATAACATCTGTCCAGTTGAAACTAAATTAGGTAGGAAAGTGTAAATTTCTTCCAAAGAAATGCCCCTGAAGTAAACCACCTAAATTTTTCCACAGATAAAGATTAAGTGAAAACTGAATATTCCAAATGTGAGATATACAGAACATTAACCCATTCCACTCAATTAGATAATTACAACATAGCATATTAGTGTCAGTTTGAGGTTATCAGCTGTGCTGCATTAGTGCACCTGAACGATTACTCTAAAAACACAATATAGGTAGATTTGAAGGCAAAGTAAAATGCTGAACTTACATGGATAAGGTGATAGCAATATTGGAGCATTAAGTGTTTTCAATTAGACTCAAGGAAAACATACGATCGGTTAAGAAAGAATGGAAGATTTCTGCATGGTCAGTTTAAAAAATACCATATTCAATGAGTTGCCACAGATGGTATATTAGCAACATTAGAATATTATGAAGAAAAACACTGATGATCAGTGCAAAGAAAATGTAAACAAAAGCAAGAACATGTTGAGAACTCTCAACAGGTCAGGCTGCATCTGTGGAAAGAATAAACTAATTATCAATTAACAAACAAGAACACAAGACAGGTTCATTGAATAGGGATCAAAATCAAATCGGAGAAACGGAAAACAAATACATGAGAAGAAACAGACTAATCTGCAAAGCACAAACGGAAAATACAAGATGATTAAATGTCATAAGTATTAAAAGCAGATAAAGTGCATCAGAATTGCACAGATGAATGCTAACTGTTAGGAAAAAGTCAATATGCATCAAGTTAAGTTTAGACTTTTTCCCCACTTGCTTACAGAAAAGAACCTTTGAAGTAATTTTTTTAAAATTTTAAAGTCAAATTAAAAACTGGCTGACTAAAAAGCACAGTTAGAATTCACTATGCATACATGGTGGAATTCTACCCAAAACTGGCTAAATGTCAGTTTTAACAAATTTCTTGAAAGGCTTCTCCCTGCAAGACCAGCAAGTTTTCTCATGCTCTCTTCTCATACATGTTTCATTATCTGTGGTACCCTGCTTATCCTATTCTCCCAGATTCCATAGGCAGAAGTACTCACAACTGTTGGGACATCATGAGATTGCTGGCACCAGTACCATATTTAAAAGTGCACTAGTTCAGGTGCTGGGAGTCTGGGGCTGCCCTGCATGGTTCACATGAATTGTGCTGGAACTTGGCACACCACTATGTGGACAGAGGTCTGGGGGTCCTAGTGACCACAGTGGTGCAGAGGAGTGCCATCCTCTTCCCCCAGAACTCTCAGGAGACCATGACACCAGATCTTGTCAGTTTGATCTGAAGTTACTACCCAAGTCAGTGAGATTTCTAGTTTGGAGATCGATGACTTTCTCTGCTCTGAGAGGGTAAGTGCCATCAGTTTTTCTTTGTCACCTCACATTTGCAAACTCTGCCACAGCACCCACCTCCTACCAAGGCTTACGGTCTACACTTGCACTATTGCATGCAACACCTTCCTTCATTCACTCCCCCTCTCACACACCCCAATCCCACTGCAAGGCCACTGTGCTGTCTACTTACTCATTCGGGACACAACACTAATTTATCCCTCGCCTGCACCAGTATTAACAGCCAGATACTTTCATCTCACTCAATCCCTTCCTTTTTCTCTTGGAATGAGACATCAGCGCCCAAAGGGCTGCAAGAAACAAGAGGGGTGGGGGTGGTGTGCTACACGACATTTGGACCCTCATTACAGACTTTGACCCTGGCAACGAGGGCTGTAAACCATTCACATAGTGATGCCGAAACCTCCAGGCCCTGGCAACCAAGTAAGAATGATTGTCCATTGTACTACTCTCCCACTACAGCTACTGAAAACTTGCTCTTAACTGGGCTGATCTTCTACCTCTTTTCTGCAACCCAGTTTCTCTTTTGTCTCCAAGTACCAGCAGCATCGACACAATCTTGGTGACCAAGAGGCTACCTCTCTACAAGACATCTTCACCTCTATCTTGGAGAAAGAAGCTACAGATTAAAAGGCATTTGCATGGGTATATGATTAGGAAAGGTTTAGAGGTATACGGGCCAAATGCTGGCAAATGGGACTAGATTTATTTAGGATATCTGGTTGGCATGGACGAGTTGGACTGAAGGGTCCGTTTCCATGCTGTACAGCTCTATGACTCTATACCTCAGAGGTTGCTTCTTGCACCCTCCACCAGCTCAGTTAATGACACTTTGGTGGGTAATTTTTTTCCACAGCTGGAACTTCATGCTAGTGAGCACATCACTGTCACATTTCTGCAGCTGGCTATGAAAGAAACAACCCAGATCTCTGGCACTCAGAGGACTGCAGGAAACCAGGAAACTGCTTACTTGATACATAATCACAGATAACTGCTCTTACTTATGAGTCAGGAATCGTCACCATGTGGTGTCTGTCCGACAGCTGGGAAAATGGGAAGCTGCATTTGAATGAGGGGAGATTAATTAATAAGTTAATACATGCAAATAGCCTTCTCCCTGCTTACGCACATGAATCTCGTTACACCGTTCAGCGCTTGGTTGGAAAATCTAACATTTTGATCTCGATGCAGAGAAGCTCACCTCTGCCAATCTCATGACTTTTCCAGCCTTCACACCAATGCCCACATCGATTAGTTTTAGGAAGATTCTGTCCATCATCTATGCTAACACTGCAGTACATAATAAGGGAGTGCTAAGCTGTCAGAGTTGGCAACTTTAAGATGAAACTTTAAATCAAAGCTACATCTGTACCTTCAAAATGAAAGTAAAAGAGTCCATAGAACTATCTGAAGGAATTCAGAGGCATTCTTCCCAATGTTTGGTCTAAGATTTTTCAGCCTTAAAATAGACAGACAATCTGGTCATTTTCTCATTCCTGAATGTAGGAGCTAGCCACATGCAAATAAGCTGCATGTTTCTTAAATGAATTTGCTATCAAGCATTTCAGAAGTCTTGAAGCATTATATAAATGCAAATCTTTGTTTCTTTTTGAACAGATAAAGGTACATTCTAATCTGTGAAGAAAGGCAGAAGCATGAAGTGAACTTTTGCCTTACCTGCAAATGCTGCCGCAGAAACACCAAGTCCAACTGCTATTAGTGTTCTACCCTGAGAAAGGAATGGAAAAATGCAGTGTAAAATAGACACATGTGAAGAAAAAGAAATACACTTGTACTGTCTTGCAATTATATCTTCACTTTATAAAACAGGAGCACACAATCACATTTCAGGGAGAGGCTAGTGTTAACTCTCATCGCTTCACCTACATCATATTTTTCCCCACATAAGCAAGGTTGGCATTTCTTGCCCATCACTAGCTGGACTGAGAAGGAAGATGGCAGTGGTCCTCCATCTCAAACCCTTCAGTTTGTAATGGTGAAGGTGCTCCCAATACTGCTGTTTAAATAAGGAATTCCAGAAGTTTGATCCAGCAACAGTGATTTACTTCCAAGTTGGGATAGTTTGAGACTTGCAGAGGAATTTGGTGGTGGCAGAGTTGTGACAATACCTCTATCGGATGCACTACGGGCAGAATACAGGGGTCATGAAGGCAAGAAAGAATGTTTAAAATAGTGAACAAGCTGCCAATCATGTAGATTACTTTGTTGCTGATGGCAAATAGCATAAAGGTGTTATTATGCCACCACTTATGCATGTGGACAGTATTCCCTCATACTTTTGATTTGCCTTATAGGTTGTGGAGAAAACGAGGAATGTCAGGAAATAAGTCCTTTACCGAAGAATATCCAGAGTCTGATTCTGCTCTAGAAGTCATTGTATGCCGATCACATGAAGGTGTTAAGGTACTAGGCAATTACAACATCCAGAATGTTAGTTGCAGGGAACCAAGTAATAAAAGGCAACGTTGCTGCAGTCCTACCCTCTCAGGGACAGACAACTGCTACCGGTTTAACCTGAGGGTCACCACACCACAGTGAAGGGGAAAGATTGAGGGGGAAGAGTCCTTCATGGTAACGAGAATCGAACCTACACTGTTAGTACCACTGTGTCACAAACCCAACCAAACTCCTACCAAGCAATGAGTACCAATGAATGTTATGAAAATATTGCTACCTGATTTATTGACATATTCTGTTAGCAATAAGATATATGCAAATTAACATGATTTATTTGTAGCCTGGAGGAAGGCACCAGTAAGGAACATAGGAATTCCTGGACTCACTTCTCAAACATTGGGAATTGAACCAGTTGATTTAACTCAAGGGTTATATGTTGTAAGCGTTTATTGTCTTACAGCTTCAGGCTCTCTGGAAATACAACTAGTCTTGGGTCATTTCACATGGCAATGTTTGTGGTTAATAACACTAGAAACAGTAGCTGTTCCAGAATGCCAAAATGAGCTAACAGGTACTAGCAGGTACATGCACATTAAAAATTATGAAAACCTAGTGACAATGGTGGTGTCAATAATGGTTCTACCATGAATCTTAACCACCAACTCCAATGTCATAGTTTCCATCACCAACTTTCATGCCTAACTAATAACCATAATCACAAACCAGAGTCCTATCTAATCTGCTTTTTTTTTTTAAAAAAGTTGTTGCAGGCATTGTGGACATTGCTGGTCGGGTCAACACTTACTGCCCATTCCTAACTGCTCTGGAGAAGGTTAGTGAGCTGAATTCTTGAACGACAGTAGTCATTCAGATGTAGGGACACCCAGAGTACTGTCAGGAACGGAAGTCCAGGATTTTGATCCAGCGATAGTGAAGGAATGGTTATATAGGTTCAAGTGTCTGGCTTGGAGGGGAACCTGCATGTGGTGGTGTTCCCATGTGTGCCCTTGGCCTAGAACGTGAGACAGGTCACAATATGTAAAGTGCTATCAAAGGAGCATTGCTGAGTTGCTATATGCACATAGGTAATACACACTGCTGCCACTGTGTGGTGAAGGGAGTGAATGAAAGTGGTGGATGAGGTGCCAAAGCACAATTCTGCACATTTTGTTTAGAAAATACCCCCTCCTAACTCTTTTTGATGCTAGCATTGCTCTCAACAGGCTTTGCTTGTAAATATACATTTGGGCCCATGGGAGGAGAAAAAAAGTGAACAGAAAATATCTACTCAGAGAAATGGAAGCTCTGTGACACATAAGTAGTGTCAATACCTCTGAACCAGAGGACTCAGGCTCAAGTCCCACCTGCTCTAGAGATGTGTCATAACATCCCTGAACATGTTGATAATAAGTAAATACTGGGAGGAACTGTGGCCCAGTGGCAGTGTCCTAACTTCTGAGCCAGGGAACCCAGAATCAAGTCCCACCTGTGTTGGTATGTGTTGCAACAGGTTGATTAAAAATATCTATCCAGAGGCTCTGGGAGCAATGGTGATGTCCCTACCTTTGGATTAGGAGACCTGGGTTCAGGTCCCATCTGTTCCAAGGGCATGCAGTCTCCACCCAAGAGGAACTCTTCAAGTGATGTCCTGGGTTGGGACAGTGAGCGCCACCAACAGCCTTTTGTGCTAGGTACGATTCTAACCAGCAGAAAATTTTTCTCCTAAGTCCCACTGGCTGCAGTTTTACTAAGATATCTTTGATGCCAAGGGCAACTATTTTCACCTTATGTTAGACTAAGCTCTTTTGTACATGTTTGAACCAATGTTACATTGAGGTCAGGAGCAGAGTGGCCCTGGCAGAAATCAACATGAATATTAGTGAGGAGGTTATTGCTAAACAAGTGCCACTGAATAGCACTCCAATGATCCATTCCATCATTTTGCTGATGATTTTAATTTTAAGTGAGTGATTCTAAAATTTGTCCTGCTCTTTTTGCGCAGGATATTCCTGGGTAAGTTTCCACATTGCCAAACAATAACAATACTGGTACGAGATAGTAAGAACTGCCAATGCTGGAGTCCGAGATAACACAGTGTGGAGCTAGAGGAACACAGCAGGCCAGGCAGCATCAGAGGAGCAGAAAAGTTGACGTTTCGGGTCGGGACCCTTCTTCAGAAATGTTCCTCCAGTTCTGAGGAAGGATCACCAGACCCAAAACGTTAATTCTGTTTTTTCCTTCACAGATGCTGCCAGACCTGCTGAGCTTTTCCAGCAACTTTGTTTTTGTCCCAGTCTATCCAATCTCTCTTCATAACTAAAACTCTCCAGCCCAGGCGATATCCTGGTAAATCTCCCTGCATCCTCTTCAGTGCAATCACATCTGTCCTATAATTTGGAATCCAGAACGGACACTTTGCCCTTGTGGCCTAACCAACATTTTATACAGTTCTAGCATAAAATCTCTGCTCTTAAAGTCTATGTCTCAACTAATAAAGGCAAGTATCCCATATGCTTTCTTAACCAACTATTTGTCCCACTACCTCAATGAATCGGTGGACACGCACACCAAGGTCCCTCTAATCCCCGATGCTTTCCAGCGTCCTACTGTACATGATGTATTCCTTTGCTTTGTTTATCCTGCCAAAGAGCATCACCTCAATTTTCCAGATCAAATTCTATCTGCCACTGATCAGCCCATCTGGCCAGCCCACTTATATCCTCCTGTAATCCAATCTAAGACTACCTTCCAAACTATTTACTACTTCACCAATTTTCATATCATCTGTGAACATACTGATCGACTTCCCCCCGCCCCCCCAACATTCAAGTCTAAATTGTAGACAAGGGCTGTGGAACTCCTCTGGACATAGCATTCAAGCCACAAAGCACCCCTCGACCACTCAGCTAATTATGGAACCAATCAGCCAAATTTCCTTGAATTCCATAGGCTTTTACCTTTGATATCAGTCTCCCATTCAGGACCTTATAAAAAGGCTTGCTGAAATCCAAGCAGAAGGTCACATAGATTACCCTCATCTACACGCCAAGTCACCTCTTCGAAAAATTTAATCAAGTTGGACAGACATGACTTTCTTAATAAAACCATGCCAACTGTTCTTGATTAATCCCTGCCTCTCCAACTGCAGATTGATTCTGTCCTTCAGAATTCCTTTTATTAGGTCCCTCACCGAGGTTAGGCTGACAGTGGCCTGTAGTTTCCTGGTTTATCCATTGATCCCTTCTTAAATAACTTGGTCCGGGTAGCAAGTTTCCCCAGCATTCTGAGTTTCAGATTTCCAGCATGCACAGCAGTTTGCCTTTATGTCTTCAGTACTGTCACCAAATGTTGTAAGGGCCCATTGTATTTCTTGATACCAAATGGAGTGAAATCAATTGGTTGAAGACTGACGTGTGATGCTGGGGATCTCAGGACGGTCTGAGATGGAGCATAGACCCGCACTTCCGTTTGAAGATCAATGCAAATATTTCAGTCTCAGTTTAACATCTGATCTAAAAGTCTGCAACTTAGACAATTCTTCAGAACTGCACTGAAGTGATAGGGAGATGTGCAGTACAATCCCAGGAGCGTGTCTTAAACTTGGCAAGAGTCCTAACACCGTCATCCAATCCTAAATCCTGACACACATGCTGTAAATCTGAAGTGGAATCAGGACAGCACTCAAATGAGGCAACATTCTGAGGAGAGAGACCGAGTGAACGTTTTGGGTGATGGAGATAGAGTTAAGGGGTTTGGTGAGACCACACCTGGAGTAACTTGTGCAGTTTTGGTCTCCTTATCCCAAGGAGGATGTTCAAATTTGTTCTGACTGAGTATAACAAAGATTTACTAGACTGATTCCTGGGACGGCAGGACTGACGTTAAGTTGACAGGCTGAATCAGTTAGGGCTATTAGTCACAGGAGTTTAGAAGAATGAAGCGGGTGGGAAATAGGTCTAATAGAAATCTATAAAATTCTAACAGGAATAGTCAGGGTAAATGCAGGATCGATGTTCTCGATGATCTAGAACCAGGTATCACAGTTTACAGGGACACAGGTAGGCTATTTAGGACGGAGGAGAAATTTCTTCAGAGAGCAGTGAGCCCATGACTTTTCTGCCATGGAAACCACTTGAGGTCAAACCATGTTTTCAAGAAACAGTTAGATATAATTCTTAGGGTAAAGAGAACCAAAGATGTGGAGAGAAAAGCGGGAACACGGTACTGTGTTGAATGTTCAGTCATAATCACATTGAATGGAGGCGAGCAGGCTCGAGGAGCTCGTATTTTCTGTTTCTAAAGGATTCCCGGAAGCAGTTGCTCATCGCAAGAGTTCCAGCTGCCTAACAGTCTACGAACACTTGTCAGTTCAGTCACGCTGGCAACACGATCATACAATGAACCGAGACAACAAGGTGCAGGGCTGGATGAACACAGCAGGCCAAGCAGCATCATAGGAGCAGAGAGGCTGACGTTTCGGGCCTAGACCCTTCATACAATGAACCGAGGCGGCTGGACGATTGCAAGGCCCCGCACTTCTGCCCCACCGGGGGTGAGGTCGCGTCCTTCCGCCTGCCCCTTACCGAGTCACCGCCACCGCCACCGTCTCCGCCTGCCCCTTACCGAGTCACCGCCACCGTCTCCTCGCTCCGCCTGCCTCGCGCTGCTCATCGTTGTCCGGAAACACGCGCCGCACCTGCCAACGGCTTCCAGCTGCCCCTTCACCGCTGTACGGTGGCCCTGTGCCGCCTAAATCAGCGAGCGCGAAATTCGAAACCGTTGCCACCCGACTGTCGTTCTCGCTAGATGAGTGAGAATATATCGCAAAATGCAAATGAGATATTGAAAGATATGATCGAAAGATCTGCCGCTGAGTTGTGCTCGCGACCAGCGTCACCTTCTATTTTGTATCTATTTGACCAAAGATGAAAATGACAGGGAGAACTGGATGTTCGCCTGTAATAACCAGCGATATATAGTTAAAACAATGTGTACTATATCAGAGATAGTAGGAACTGCAGATGCTGGAGAATCCGAGACAACAAGGTGCAGGGCTGGATGAACACAGCAGGCCAAGCAGCATCATTGCACTACAGTAACATTAAAGCGCCTCTAACAGCATCTTTCAAAAATCCCGAACTCTATCTGACAGGCTAAGGGTAGCAGATCACTTGCGTTGGCTACTTTCTTCCAACATCACAGTCTCGTGTCAAGCTGCAAAGAATTTTCATCATCTTTGGTTTGCAACTGTGACACATTACTAAAGAAAAAGGAACGTGTGCTGACGGCAAAAACGATATTCGGTAGAATGCCTGAAACCTATTGTCATGTGTATTCAATATAAAATACAGCGAAAAGTGTGAACTTTCGCTGTGCATAAGCGCCATTCACAATTTATTTAAAATATTTGGAACAATCTGCAAATGTCTATTCGCCCTGGCTATCTCGTTGAAATGCTCCCGCCTCTCGTATCCCAGGGCTGTTGCCAGGCAGCGTCCTACACTCCGCCCCTTCCTCTCCTTGTCCCATTTCTTCCTCCCTTGCCCTAACCCTACACCTCCTCGTTTCCCTGTCTCGTCCCTTTGCACTGCACCTTCCTCTCACCCTCTGTTTTGTTTTCCTCGCTCCTTCCATTCCCTCTGCCCCGTCCTTCCCTGACCTTGCGACTTCCCACCGCTCCCACGTCCCGCCCCTTACATCTACCTCTGTCCCTTCACCCTGAACGCTCCATTCCCTCCACCTTCTCCCATTCGCCCCACCCCCACGTTCCCACCTCCTCCACTTTGCACCACCCGCCTCCCTTTGCCCCGCCCCCTTTTTTCCTTCCCCCCCGCCCCGTCCACAATCTTCACTCCACACTCGCCCCTCCTCCTCTCTGTTTCTGCCCTTAGTCGTCACATTCAGAGAGCCCAAGATGACTTGACGTTTGTTACGTGCAGGGTTGACGGTTCCGGCGTTTGCTGGCTGTTTTGACTCTTCCGCGTTCTGTCCTCTCCGTGCATTTCAGTCGGTTAGCAGCACCACATTAAACCGTATTCCGCATCCCCATCCCCGGTGACAGTTACATGAGAATTATGAATCACGTCCAAGAGCCGGCGTGCCAGAATCAGGATGGAAGACAAGAGAGGGACGCACAGACGGAATGTAACGCCAGAGGTGAGTGAGGTGGAGACGGCTGTAAGTGACTATCTGGGACCAGGTGCCAGGCCGGGGACCAAGTCCAGGAGGCTGGGCCCAAGGCCTGGAACTAATGTCAGGGTTCAGAGAATCCTGGATACTGGGACGCCGTGTTTTCAGTTGTAGTGCCAGTCAATGTTAATCGTTTCCATAAAAACCGAAAGAACTGCGGATGCTGTAAATCCGGAACAAAAACAGAAGTTGCTGGAAGCTCGAATCAGAGATAGTAGGAACTGCAGATGCTGGAGAATCCGAGACAACAAGGTGCAGGGCTGGATG